GAAATATTTGTTATATCCAATTTTATATTAATTTATTCGTTAATATTATTATATTTATTTGATATATTTATATTTATTCTATATTTTAATACTTACTGACGATAGATTAGAAGAAACATCAGTGTTTGGAGAATCGGGCAAATATATACCGGGCAATGGCACTAAACCGTAAAAAAACATCAGTGTTGGGTATACCGGGCAGTGGCACTTAACCTTAAAAAAACATCAGTTTAGGGTGTACCGGTTAGTGGCACTTAACTTAAAAAAATATATGTGTAGGGTATACCAGGCAAATATATACCGGGCAGTGGCACTTATCGTTAAAAAAACATCAGTGTAAGGTTAAAATATCGAATAAATGTAATTATATCCACGAATAAATTCATATCAAATCGAATGTGATAAATATTTCGGACATTCACCAAAGCATATCTGTGATTGTCGACATACACCGGTGAGGGTCTGAATGTACAAGAATGTAATGAAATATTCGATCTTTCGCCGACGTATTTGGTGTTTGTCGACATTCACCGGTGAAAGTCAACAACCACCGATTTCGGTCTTTCGCCGTGACATATATATATATATAATGTAAGATTTTTGTTCTTAATTTAGTGTATTTTTATTAGTTGAATTTAATGGTACAGTTGTTGAAAACACTTTATTAAAAGATAGCTAAAAACAGGGCAAATAATTGCATTAATTTAATCTGTATGTCTGACTCATGCCTTATTTTTAATTATTCAAAAAAAAGTATTCTGGAAATTAAATTGCACCGTTAATTTCAGTTAAAAAAACATAATAAATCAGGGACAAAAAGCTTTTAAAACATCGATATTTTGTGTAGCATGTAACAATATATGTTCTGTTTTATGAATAACAGTCAGCAACCCGTGAAATTCACCCAATATAAACATGGTATGATTAATCTAAATATTACTTCAAATAAAATTCAACATTAAAATACACATTCAACTTTCACTTCTGTAGTTAAAGTTCTGCACTTTTTCAAGCATAACGATATATCAGTCTATATTGTTTATTTATTAAAGATAAGAAAAGCTATTGTCTTTTTTGAAACCGAATGTTATGAGTCGATGATGGTACGTGCTTAAGAGGAAGTCTAAGGACATAAGTAAATGACTTGAATGGGTACTTACCTTGTAAACATCAAGCTCCCCACAAAAGTTATCAAAACGAGTATAAAGATTGTTTAGTAGATCGATAACCATTAGTGGTGTGGCAGTAGAGCATATAGACGTAAAACCAACAATGTCAGAAAAAAGCATTGTCACATTTTCTCTTTGTTCGGCTTTTACTGATTCACCTAAGATAATAAAAGCAAAAAAGTATCTTTAGCTTAACGATTATATAGTGTGCAATCATAAAAATCATTTTTATATACACTACTAAATTCAACTTTTGTAAATATCTCCTTACGACAGGGTTATTTAAATGTCTTACATTGATAGGTTTATATATTTTTGAAACGATGCCAAATTTATGTGCGAATGTAAATTGGGTATGAGTTTTATGAAATTGACAACAAAGATAAGATATAAGAAGTATAATTTTACTGTGTCTTGTTTACTTGGATGAATTGTGATTTGGTGAGCATTTTACGTTATATATAAATTGTTATAATAGTATAAAAAGGAAAAAAGAAATTTATTTGAGACTTAACTTTCATTGTAAAGTATGATAGATATATTTATTAAAACTTTTCTGTAAGAGTTAAAACACTAGTTTCATTTTTTTAAGATTAATATTCCGTATGAAAAATAAACTCGGAAACACTGAAGCAAAAAATCATGTGTTTTATAAACAGTTATATGCTATATTAAATTTTTCTTTTAATGGATTTTAGAAAAAATGGAAATTTTAGGAATTAATTGTTATATTAACGATTTAAAATTAAAAAATGCGCATTGAACTATTGGTTAAAAAAGATTGAAGATAATTGCTCTTACACAGACATATTATAAAAAAATAATTTAATAAACAAATTTCAATGCTTTTGTACCTTAAAAGCATTCTCTCAGTTGTATCGAGGATAATAAGCATTCGAAAATGCTTTTTAATAATGTAGTGTAAAATAAGTTTATGATTTGATTATTTTGCTACATTAAAGCGTCGCACACTAGCGACGCTTTAATGTAGTTACGTTATTCTTACGTTATCATTTTCAATGATTATTTTCAAAAAACTGTTGGATACTAAATTAATAGCTTTGATTGCAGAAATATAAAACTTATTTTGTTAAAAAATGTTCCTTCCCAGGGTCTTCATTAAAGACCTCGCTTAAACTTTTTGTTTAAATTTCTTCAGCAAATAGTGAATTAAATGCAAAAATCAAGATTCATGGGAATCTCCAACGAACATCGAAACCTGTTTGGTTATATACTGGCTTGATGATCGTCTTTTAACCCTTACTATTTGCTTCCGCAATCGAATGTAATTCGGTGTTTTGCATATCTGCTTTACTTGACTCTGATTCGTTAGATTTCAAAGGTAATTTAAATTTTTTTCCTCGAGTAAATATTAATTTGAAATCGCTAATGTGAATACTTTTAAGTTAAAGCTCAATTAAACTTCAATAGGTAAAATATGTAAAATTGGGAAATTTATTTGATTGTCGGATAATAAAGATCAGAAAACTATATTTTATAAAACTACCAGTAGATTGCTCGATCTTTACTTCGAGTTTTTTGAAATTAATTTTCTAAAATAATATATTTCTTTTATTACTGTTTTTCTAAAATTTATTTTAAATTAAACATTGAAATATATCATTAGCAAAGAATTTCTGGTTCCTTAAATTTGCTTCAAATTCAACAAAAACGTATCTATTACTATTTTGTATCCGACTGTAAAAACAGAAATTGTGCAAAATCTACTTTTTTCTCAAAAGTCGAAAGAACTTCGGTAATTACTTTTTAGTTGCATTAGTTTAAATAATTGAAAGAAATAATTTGACGGAGAAATTTATAACTTTCTTTTAAGATAAGTTTAAATGTTTTTTTTAAGTATCATTAAAAGGAAAAAGCATTTTAAAGAAAGCAAAATTGTGATATTTTATGAAAGTAAATGATACCACAACCACCTGCATAATTATAATAGTCACGTTTCAATGCCAAATGGCAAGCGAGCGAGTGCGATGGTGTCAAATTACATTGTGTCATCATTCGGGGTTGTAAAGAAAAAAAGAGGACAATTCATTATTTTTGTAAAATGTCCTGGTTTATGAAATTATGAAAAATCCACTTATAATTTTGTGAAACCTAAGAAAAGTGTTAAATCGGGTACTAGTTTTGTCCTTTTGAAGAATTTTTTTTTTTTTGATTTTGTTAAAAATCGCTAAAAGCTTTACCTTGAAGGAAGTTGCTGTTATTTAATTCTAAATAAATGCAAAATGAGACTCAACTTAATAAAATTACATCAGAAGAACAGACGCACAAAAACAATAACATATCATTCAAGATGACCAAAAATGCAAATCAACTACTAGTACACTACATTTAATTTTCAAAAAAATGATGCATAAATTATTGAAATGGAAAAATTGAAAATGAAAAGATTAAAAATTACTTTTTCTTTTATACATTTTAGAATTTGAACTAATACTTAAGAATATTGCATCTGAAACTGGAATATTTTAAATTTGTTTTTATTTGTTTTATTGTGAAATTTTAAGAATGTGAATAAAATAAGATAAGGTCATTAGCATTGGAATTTAAATGTTAAAATAGGCCAATATATGTCTATCATCAGTAGAATTAAAAAAATTTCAATATAGTTTTAAGAAAGAAAATTATTCTGAATATAAAATATGTCATCCATTCTCACGTAATCGTTTCACAAAGGATCAGTTTTTCCGATAAATTCGTGAAAAATTCGTTTTTAAGCTAATTTCAAAAATTCGTTTTCGTGTTACATTTGAATACTTAGATTAATCTTTTTTCAAAATACTAAGAAACAAAGATGTTTTATAAAAAATTTTCCAACGCTATTATCATATATACAGTGAGCCAAAAAAAGGACCACCCTGAATAACTCTTGATCTAATGATCGGATCTTTATGTTCTAGGACTCCATCTCAATGGTTCGAGAGGGCATTACTTAGCTTACGTTATTTATATTAAGAAATCAGGCAAACATGCTTTCACTGAATAAACATACCTCTTTTATGCGGATTATGATTCCTGTTCCCCAAAATATAGGAGATAGTCGTAAACAAAGAAATAAGGTCTCAATAGACGAGAGCGATCGAAATTTGCTTTTCTTAATGGTAATTTTACTTTCTCGGTATTTCGAGATATCTCGAAAATTTTTGTCCACAATTACGGAATTCGTTCACCCAAAAGATAGTTCCATGTAAAAATAATTTTCAATAATTATTTATTATTAATTATTATTTTATTTAATAATGGTTGAAAAAATTTATTTCGAATTGCAAGGTATACAGAACTTTGCATCATTTGGAAGAATGTCATTTTATATGTCAAAATACAAAATTTGAACGAAATCGGTCGAATAGCTCCGGAGAAATCAAATTTTAAGGAAGTCATATACTTTGTTCAAATTTTGTATTTCGCGATACTTATAAGAAAATTGTACATATATGATAATTTTAACATACATAAAATATTATGTATAAAGTGATGTAAAAATTTGTATCCCATGCAATTCAATTTTTTTTTTACTATTATTGAAAAATAATAAAAAAATAAACAATTCTTAAAAGTAATGAAAAATAATTAAATATTAATAATAATAAAAATCATTCGATAAATGAAGTTCACAATTGTAATATTTTTTTTATTCTCCTATAAATTTCTCGAGACAAAATACGGAATTCATGACAAAATACGGAAAAAGTAAAATTTACATTGAATAAACTACGACCATTCTCATGTCCAAGTTCGGAACCATATTTTCCTGATTGGGGCTATTTCCTATATTTCGGAGGACAGAAATCATAATCTGTCGAAAATGTTTATTGAGACAAAGTACGTTTGTGTGTCTGATTTTGTAGCTCAAAACATCGTCTTCACAAATCAATTAGCATATCTGAGGTCACTCCTTCAACCCATTGAGTTTATGAAAATCCTATTATTAGATCAGAAGTTATTCAGGGTGTTTTGTTTATTTGTTTTCCGCACTCTACTCTAAGTATGAAGTTTTAAATCGTTCCATGTTCTACAGAAAGCAAAGATATGGAAAATCATTCTCATAATTTAAAGTATTTTGAAATATTATTAAGCATGTGTCTTTTTATTTAAATTTTATACGCTTATTTTATTAAACATCTATTACGCGAGGCATTCCAATATTTCGAGATTTTTTAGTCATCTTACTTGAAAATACAGGCTTATTAGAAATTTCAAAAAGCAAAATTATTAAAAAGCATCGAAGTAAAAGTTACTGCACATTGTTATTAATGACAAAATACCAGTTTTTCTTTAGCTTTATTTCAAAAAAGAGCTATCACAATATTAAAAAAATGAAAGAGTATTACTTTGTTTAAAAAAGCAAGAATTCAGTGGAATAGGTGAAAAAAGTCTAGCATTTGACAGAAACAAAACATAAAAAAATAAAAAAAATTTTTTTTATATAAATACCAAAATAATTTCCATACGTTCATAAATTAATCTTAATGAAAGAATTCCGAATATCTTGATAATGACAGAAAAGAATTGTTTCTTACATCAGTTCGGAATTTTTTGTTTCGTTTGTTTATTCAGGCAGCAGCCACAGAAAAAATTAATGTTTTGTTCATAACCAACATATATGTTATGCGCAAAAAATATCTACGCACTAATGTCACAGAAAGTTCCACGATGTTGAACTGTTGTTAAGGTAATTTAAAAAAAACATAAAAACTCTGAGTTTGTACAGACTTTTATAATAAATCATTTATTTTAAGTAACTAGATTATTAAGATTAAAGAATTTAATTGAAAGCATGTAGGGTGTCCATTAAATGGCATGACTGATTCCTGTTGAACACATATTAAAAAAAGCAATTTAAAATAAATGCGCCGTCTGTTACATTCTTACAATAAAAAAAAAGTAGTTTGAATTTTTGAAATTGATTTTTGTGTAGAAACTAGCACATGCTAGCCAACATAACAACGAAATTATTGACCGAATGCTCGTCAGTACATTTTCACAGTACCACTGTCAAGCTTATATACTTTTTCTCAGAATAAGTCATACTGTCGTCGACAAAGCAGTTTTATTTATTCCGACGGCAGGTTGCAGGGATTCACTTAAGCTGTCGACAGGTTGTGGGTTTTTTTCTTAGGTTATCGACAATATGTGGGGT